AGTACCGAATATCTGGTAAACAGTCACTTAAATACTGTAAAATCTGAGTGAATACAAGATGCAAAAATCAGAGTTATATAGGTATGAAGTACAATAATCAAAATCAGCACTGTTAATTAGCTTAATTAGAGGCGGTTAATCAACGGTGAAACACTTTTAAATCTGTAGCCTGAAAACACATAAATACATGGTAACAGATACTTGATAAATTTGGCCAGAGTACCAGAACTGTTATAAGGATACTGTTATTTGGTCAGTTAATTAACAGTAATTAATTAGAATAGAGAACTGAACGACAAGAATTAAGAGTCTAAAAGTACCTAGGTCAAACTTGGGTCTGTAACAGTATTATTAAAGTACTAGTTAAGAATTATTACCAGAAGTTAAGATTAGGTAGGTTGTAATTAAAATTAATTAGTTACTTAATCAGCGCTTAAAGCCTACCTTGGCCGATATCGCTTCTCTGTTGTCTTGGTCTGCTTCTATATACACGCAATCCAAACAAATAGCACACGCACATTATATTCACCACACCTTTGCATATAAACAATAACGCGCAGTTATCAAATTTCAAAGTCCGGAATTAGCACAAAATTGTTATCTCGGGTTATACACGTCCGATAATTAAGAAAGATATGTCTCTGTGGTCCTTGACACTTCAGAAATCCGAATCCGTTAGTTCCAATTAGTTGCTTTAATTAGTTGACTAATTAGCAAAATTAGGCAAGGAGTCCCAGTCCTTTCTTCTTCCTTTGTTAGATGAAGAGTGAATGGTAGCCCATAAGCTTAATATGGGCAAAAGACACACACACACACACACACACAAAAAAAAAAAAAAAAAAAAAAAAAAAAAAAAAAAAACTTTCAAAGACTTCCTCACAAAACTTTCAGAGAAGAAAAATTTTGTTCTCGTTTTGCCCTGTTGACAGCAAAACAAAACCAAGAAACCAAGACTGAATTTCTGTTTGCTGTGGGATGATCCAAACGTCAGATATTAATCTAGCTTCCTCCCTCCCCCCCCGAAAAAAATTATGACTGCAGACGAAACTTAGTGCTTCGTTTTTGAGAAAAAAATGCCGTTGATCTGCTTGGGCTGGAGAAGGTTCCCTTCAGTACAGGAATTTCATTTCCAGAAATCTGGAGTAAGGATGATGTGAATGGCCTTTTTTGATTGGAAAGGAATAATTCCAAAACTTTATTTGAGGAACTATATTTTATAAAGACGTAAGGAAAAGATTTTTAAAGAGAAGTCAGAGCCTTCGGCCTGAAAAATCTCAATAGAATAACTGATTTCTGCTGCACGTCAGATACTACCATTAATAGAACTATTTACTTTACTTTAATAGAATAATTCTAAAATTTTATTTGAGGAACAGGTATATTTTATAAAGACGTAAAGAAAAGCTTTTGAAAGAGAAGTCAGCACCTTAAGCCTGAAAAATCTCAATAGAATAACTGGTTTATGATGCACATCAATATACCACAGATACCACCATTAATAGAACGATTTTCTTTAGGAGAATTTCTAAAATAAAATGCGGTGGTTATGTTAATCAATTATAGGCTTTGCCGCCCGTTATAGTGGTTAATGGTATTAACTACGTGTGAGGGCAAAACGGTATAGTGGTTAGCGTCGCTGACTGCCGTGCTGAAGGGCTCGGGTTCAAATCCCGGAGACATGGATGTATGTAAATGTATTGTGTCCGTGCGGCATGGGGGCACTCTAAAGGGCCGCTCCCACTTGGGTTTATCTGAGCCAGTGGAGTCAGTTCCATGTGTCGATTAGCTCCGCTATGCCTGAAGTTCAGATTTTTCAACTTGCTGCTCTACGGGAAAAAACTGGTTTTGGAGATGGGTCGGCTACGTCAGTTGTCTCTTAGCTTAGGTAATCCTCCGTGGGAACGGCCTTTTAATATGCGGCGAGACGAAAGCCCTCTCGAGAGGCTGGTGTTAGAAGAAGAGGGGTAGGAGACCCTCGGAAGCTCTGCATCAAAACTGGGGGCAGAACTCAACTAAATCACACTGTCATCTGTAAGATGCTCAAGGCTGTTGCCAACGGAAGGCGTAAACTTGCGCTCATTGCCACGAGGAATTTCATGGGCTTAGGCTGACTATAGGTCAGACAAGTGAGCATTAGCAACTACAACAACAATTATAGACCTTTAGAAATTGTTCTGTAAATTCGTTAGTGCAATAAATAAGGTGAGAAATAGTGTCACATTTAAACAGGTAGTTAATTAAGAGGCAATAATAATATCTTGTTTAGGGCATAATATATATATATATATAATATATACCAGTAACACCGTACCAGACATGGAAGACACAAGCGGCTAGCTCAAACAAAATTCTAGTTAATTCTTTAATTATTAGTTTTTTTAAAAGAAATTGAAGAGATTGTCTTATAACATGGGAAAATTTCATAACTTAATAACCAACACAGTTTGGATATTGAAATCTTAAAATCCCACCAAGAATACAATACTTACATACCACAATTAAATTAAATATTAAAACGAGATACTGAATATATATATATATATATAGCTTATAAAATGGAGAAAATCACGAATGACGTGGCAAATTTATTGCAATAGCTAAATAACCAACCTTTAAACTTCATAGTTGTATTCAGTTATCTGTAAAGGGAAAAAAAAGATTAATAAACTAAAATGCATATTAAATATAAAAATCTAACTTAAAATAGCAAAGCTTTGGCTAGTTAGGTGTGGTTCCTTTGCAAATAATTCCTTTAATCAAGCGAGGGATAAATAAATGAAATCAGTATTAGAAAAAGCTATATATCCAAGAAAACACTGACATTTAATGATATACCCTCACGTTTCCAAAAGAAATCATTTGATGTCCAAGTACGGGAACTTTCGCTTCAGCTTAAATCTTCCATAATTTGTAAAAATGTTTTTTTTAATAACGTGTGAAAGTTTCAACATTTTATAACAGACGAATTTTTGGATGATTCTATAAATGAAAACGTGAGAGATTTTTAAAAAGTCGCCAAAAATCAGTAAGATTAGGATTATTTAGTGCATTCAGGAGCTATGAGCTTAACCCTTTGTTGCACCATGTCCACTCTAGTAGACAAAAGTTTAAATTTGTTTATTCTCCTGCAAATGCCTTAACAGATTCCATTCCTATGTTTATTTATTCTATATTATTAGAACTTTCAACTGTCGATCATAGATGGCTGTATAGCATCACTAAGTAAAGCGTTGTTACTTGCAAAATGGCTGCTACTTCTGTTTCCAAGTTAGTACAATTTCTTATCGTGAGTGAGTGAGCGCCACCAAGGAAGACCACTGACCTGGCCTTATCCTCACAGTGTGATATCTTCCTGGCAGAAACCATCTACTCTCTGGTCCACCCTGCTCCGGGAACGCAGCCGAATAGACGGCTAAGAGCCTCATAAAGTCTACATGTAAGCTTGGATATTGTTGTACGGGGAAAGAGTATCCTGTTAGGAACTACTTAAAATTAAGCAAAGAAGCAATCAAAAGACTGTTAAGAATCGCTGTTAGAATAGACAGAAACTTGTGTTAGATAAAGTAAAGATAGGAGAACTCTGCCTGAAAAATTAACTATCGTGGATTTTCTGGACTTGCTAAATGTCTACATGCGGGGGCTAATCCTGACACAACTGTCATATATTTATGGGGATTTTGTAAAATCATTGGTCCTGCATGGAGGAAAGATGTAACCTGTTAAATTATTGCACATAGTAAACTTTAAAAAAAAAGAAAAAAAGAAAAAAAAAAAAAAAAAGAGAGAGAGAGAGAGATTAAAAAATGATTTAAAAAAAATCCTAGCCCCCAAATATAATTTAACGCAGATTATTTTCCATATGCCTGACTCTTATGTAAGAACATTTAAAAGATTGTGTACCTGTTATCACTAAGATAACAAATTCCTGCATAATTTAGTTCTTTGCGCATACTTAAACTGTAGTTGTTTTACAAATTGAACCATTCACCTACATTTTCTTTCGTAGTACTTGCAGACAGGATAATACATACATAAGTACAAAACTGAATATTAAAGTGAAAAACTAACATGATACTGAGTACAGAAATACAGAAAGCTAATCCCTAATGCCTGCATACATAACACTTAAAAATGCATACGCAATACATGAAAACTAAAACTAAAACTGATAAACATAATACATAAAACTGATCATTAAGTAATGCTACGTAGTCTAAATCCTAGCCAAGTACGAACTGACCTTCATAGTACATGCAGAGAAGTCATAAATACAGACTTGAGCAAACATTATATAATATTGCTTATATTTTCTTATACTGCCATTTTTTATTCATAATTAGTAATTTTAGACATTTTATTTTAAATGTCATTTTGAGAAAACTGTGGAGTGGGTAGATAAAGATCTACCGAAAAGAGTGAATTTAAACCCAAATGAACTGCTTATCAAGTCAAAACACCACTGGAAATATTTATGTTCGGCAAGGAATTTCTAGAAAATTTGACATTTGAATCCAATAGGTACAAGTTACAAAATCGTAGCAAAATGAATTCAATCACAATCGACGAAATGAAGGTATTTTGGGGGATCTGTATATCCTTGTCAGTTGTAGATTTACCATTTAGGAAGATGATAATGATCGCTGCAAAAAAGGCAGGAAATGATTTCAAATGACCATAAATCGTTGGGAAGAGATTTGTGTGCATGCTGTCCACTGTAGTGAACAAACTGTAGCAATTATTTAAAACGAAATTTGAATAAAATTAATTTTTTTTATTAATACAAAGGTTATTTTAAGTAGAAAAAATACAAACATTTTCGTTTAACTTCTCTAGATTATTTGTATGCAACAAAGGGTTAACAGCAGGTTTGTGGAAGGCTTTCTGAGGGAAACTGATTAGCATTCACGTTACACATAGAAACAATTTCTAAAAAATCAGCCCATACGTAAAGATTTGGTATAGATTTCATTTGAAATATTTCTTTTTCCTTCTCTGTTCAAAAGCTATACTTACATTCCATTTTACACTGTTCGTCAAAATTAAAGGGTATTGACAGAGATAAAGCTAAAATGTTATCTACTAAAATATTATTAAAACAAAGTTGTACAGAGGCATTGTTTAACATAAATTATGTTGATAGTTGACTAATCTCAAAATACTGAATTTAAATCAAATTTATGGCAATTAAAAATGCTAGGAAAATTATCTCTTGTTTTTCAACAAACTTTCTTCAGTATAGTCTGCAGTCAACTGGAAACGCAAACCTTACATCTTGATTAAACTACCAAATTTTTTATCAGATCTTGTGAAACTGTAGGCTACCTTTCTCGGTACGCACGTTTCAGATCCTGAAGACGTCGGGAGGCATTCATACTGCAATTCGGCAGCCTAAGATATCATATACATGTTCAATCGTGTTCGAATCTGGTGAATATGGTAGCCAATGCATTCGGGTGATATTTTCTGTTTCCCAGTATTCTGACACCTATAGATGCTCGATAGGATAGATGATGCGGAGAAAATTCTCCGCAAAAATTTCTGAATTTACAATACACTCTTCAACAGCTTTACATAAAGTTTCAAGAGTTCGTTCATATATCTGTGACCAGTACAGAACCTCTATCGAAGACTTCCAGCATAGTGCGACCATTTTTGATGATTCCACTTTAAACTATGAAACCACTCCCGTAGAAACAGAATCTTTCATCAATAAGGACAGGTAAGTTACGTTGTGCTCGCTCCTTCCAAATGAAAGCACATCTAGAATCACAACATAGGCTACATCTGGCTACACATGCTACCATTCCTTTTGGATGCATTGAACATGATGACGACATTATCTTAAACGAGCGGCGTTTTAAGATGAAATGAGTGGCCCACGAATCAATAATGTCGTCGCTAAAAATCCTATCTCGTAAAACCCTCGTACAGCTATAAAACGGCTGAGAGTTTCTATTGCAACTGGAAGGTCATCTGAAATCAACTTTGTTGCAGTCACGTTACGGTTTTTTCGAACCGACAATCGGGCGCGAAAAAGTCTTCAGCTGCCGTTGACCAGGCTGTTCTACTAACTTATTCTCTGCTTTAGACTTGATACGAAATTTTGTAGGATATTCATCATGGGCATTATTCATGACGAATATTCCATATTTCCGATCCATCGAGTCTGCCAATTAACGGCCAGTTTTTGTTCTTTTCTTAAATAATGCCTTTGAGTTCTAAGTAATCAGAAATCACATACTTACAAAAAAAAAAAAAAAAAAAAAATACATTAAATTTAAACAATACTGTACAGGCGAACTCCTACGTGTGTTCATTGCGTACAATTTTGTCATAATCTGCATATTTTATGGTTATCTTACGGCCAGAAATCCAACTTTTCAGTCAGTTGCGGAAGATTAACATAAAAAATCACACCATTGGACCCTGGTTTAAAATTTTAATCGGTGAGTATATTTCTTCAGATTATCTTTTAATTATAACAAGCAGTGTATAGCAGTTTGCAATAAATTTATCATAAAATGACAACACATAAAGAGAACACTATCAGTAAGATTTTATTCCCATTGCAGATATCGAGAATCTGTTTGGAAAGGACAATCTGGCTGGATTAGAAGAAATCCTACTTGCATCTGATCTCAACAACTGCAACGAGGTATTTATTTGTAAAATTCTGGTCTTTTTGACACATTTTTAGTTCAGCCAGTAGGAAAAGATTTTTAAGTAACTGATTATGAGAAATTATAAGATTTTGGATTAGATGTTTTATTGTCTTTAATGAAGGAATAGAAATATATGGAAATGTAAACTTTTTGTTATTGAGCAGGAGAAATGTATTAATTTTTCATCGTCTTTGATGGAAAACTGCATGCATATTATATATATAATATCTACCTTTCTTATAATAAATTAACAATAGCTGCTTAACTCTCTTTATAGCTGCTTAATTCTCTTTATTGCATGCTGCCCTCTTTATTCTAAAAATAACAAAGCAATAAGTTTTCTAACATAATCTGTACTTCTAATTTTGAAAACGTGGTCCGTCATCTGAACTCTGTTGCGCAATTATTCCTTGAATGTAAAAATAAATAAATAAATAAATAGAATATAACAAAATATAAGAAATAAATTCAGAATATGTTGATTGAAAAATATGAAAAAAGTTCTGTGTAAAGTGAAATAAACAATAAAAATGTTACGAAATGCAGTAAGCTTCCCCGCAAAGCGGGCTTAGGGTTTTCAGAAAATGGCAAGGAAGGCAGGGCGCGAAATCGTCCACTTTGCGACATTTGGCGGCAAAATTGGCGATATGCCATAGACAGAGCGAGAAAATTCTGGAATGAATTCTTACCGGTTTTCATGAGAATGTTCTCGAAATCAGGTCAAAAGCTATATAAACTCTGCCTGTACGCGGAGTAGCAATTTTATAGTGAAGTGTATCTTGAGTTTATCTTTTAGAGTATGTTGAGTTCAGCAATAGTGTCTTGAGTTCAAAGATTAGTAGAGCGCGATAGACCGAGTCGGAAGCTGTGCTTTAATGCTTTGCTGTGAAGCTGTTTTCACCATTACAGCCTGAGGCTGTGTTACTGATTGTTTCAGCGTGTTTGTCTTAGTTTTTCGACGACTGTAACGCATCTTTGGAATTGTCCTGTGTAATACTGACGAATAATTTGTGTTTTGATTCTTCGTCAAGTATTATCACCAGTCACTCCAAATCCATGAACCCGTAGAACGCAACAGGAAGTGAAGTGAAATAAGAAAAAAAAATTAGTAATGTAATGAAGACTATAGAAAATAAATATGCTTTTATGAATAGAAAATATAAGAAATAAATTAAATTCAGAGTATGTTGAAGATATACGAACAAAATTCTGCGTACAAAGAAATGAACAATAAAAATTAGTAAATTAATTAAGATTACGGAAAATAAATGTGCTATTGTGAATACAAAATATAAGAAATACGTTAAGAGTAAGAGTATGTATTAAAGTATAAAGGACAGAATTAAATAAATATATATAAATATATTGTATATAATAAAGGTTAAAACATAGGACAGAATTAAAAATTTGCAACTAAAGTTAACGTAGGACGAATCAATCGCTTGAATTCGTACATAGGAAATACTAAGGTTACATGTGAATTAATGGCTATATGCGTAGTAGAATAACTGGAATATAAAAAAATATACAAAGGCTAAAAATCTTAAAATTGAACATGATTATCACCGGAAAATCAATGAAAGATAATCTCTTATCAAACTGGAACGATTATTTCGCACTGCACTTAGGCTCATACTCAATCCTCCTGCGAGTTTCGCCTGCGGGCTTGCATCGCCTGCTGACCACGAACTCTCTGTTTTCTACTACTAGCTTGCTTCATCATTTATATAATTATTTTGCATTTTTTTTTTTGGGTAGGAAGGAGAATGTTTCGTCCATATTGCTTCAGGTATGGGACAGCTGGATGTGCTGAAATTTCTGCATTTCAAAGGAGCCGATTTATTTCAAGTGGATGGGGTAAGTTCATAGCAGGAATCTTAAATTTCATGAAGCTTTGAATGCACAGGTATAGAAAAAATTATTAAACGCAACATCTCTTATACTTGTAAATACTTTTAAAACTATTAAATTTTGTTTGTTAAATTCAAAAACCTCATTATATTACTCATAATTTAGTAACCTTTTGCTCTTCTAAGCATTTCGATACTTTTAGGCATCAATGCCGTTAAATGTTACAATTGTTTTTAATAGTCATTTTATAAAGACACATTTGAAGTTTTTTAAATGGGCAAGGGTGTATTGGTTTTGTTCTGTTTTCTATCTAAAATTTACATAAAATTTTAGATTGGATTCGTATCCAGACTTTTTTTTTTTTTTTCAAAGAATATCAGTCTCACATTTATAGGCTAGTTAAGGAAAAGCTATACGTTTAAAACATTATTCCATTTCATGTCATTTATCATAATATATTATCCATTTAGACCGGAAATCAAATAAATTTAGCTTCATAATTGACATGTTAGCAATGTGCTACAATATTCACATAATGCAAAAAAAAATCAAATTCATTACGCGACGCACCTTTATGCATTTAGAGTGGAATGGTATCATTTATTTTTTAATTTAAATAACCTTATAAGGTTCTCTCTCTTTACCGCATGCCTTCGTGATGTAACTGGGAGCATATTCAGGAGGTCCAGAGTTCGAATCCCAGCGAGGGCACTGCGAATCTCTTCAGTTTCTGACATCAAAACATTCTAAAAGACTCTGCAGTGACTCCGAACTAAAAAATGGGTTGGCGATAAGTCGACACCATCAGGATTTGGCGATTGAGTCCCCTCATCCTCAGTCGCCGTTTTAAAGGAGGAGTATATAAGATCTTTTTTGGCTCCTTTCCTCATGCCTTCGTGGCGTAATTGGAAGCACTCTAAATGCGTATTCAGGAGGCCCCGAATTCGAATCCAGACTATGGCATTGTGGATTTTTTTACATTTCTGCGCCGTTATTAAATAATGACTCTGCACTTTATATGCGGAAAACCTGCGTTTTATTAAATATGTTCAGAATGCAAAATTTAAAAAAAAATTCCCATTGTACTAATTACTTAAAAGTTGGCATATTGCGATATTATACGATCATACAATATTCTGCATATCGGCTACGTAAATTATTAAATTTTTGAATTTTAAATGAAGTTTTACAAGCTTACGAAGCTGCACTAGCCTTCTAAGTGCAGAGGTCTTAAATGGTTGGATTCAGTAGTGTTGTGTTTAGCGCCGAACACTGGCATCCACCAATGCTGGTGCTTTGAGAAAATCGGTCACCAGAGAACTTATTTTTATTATATTTGATTCGTTGCGTGGAGAAAGTTTAATAACACTACCTTTAATGATATTTTTGAAATCGAAAGACAGTTCTAAGCATCGGCTGCAAAGTGGGTATCGACGCAACAAGTTCATTTGATCAAGAATTTTCTGTAGAAAAGATTTATCTAAATCTGATACAAGAAAAGAATTTTTTAGGGCTTTCGATGATAACTTTTGAGAAAATTGTAGTTTTGAGTTTTGAGGTATGAACGGGGGCAAAGTTTGATATGCAACCACCATCTCATAGTTACGGTCTGAGTAGTTTTTACTTTTTCAAAATAGAAGGTAGCTAAGAGCTGCGTTGCATAATAGGTTTTAGTTACAATTATAGATTTCGGTAATTCAAATAAGTATCAATTTTTAAAGACTGAAATGCTAGTCTACAAAGGCGTTAAACAGCCTTCAAACTTCATAATTTTATAAAACACTGATGGGAACAATTTTTCCGTAGTATAGAAAATTAACAAACATTTTTGGGGAAAGCCTTTTTTCCTCTCCATTCTATTGTACATGTCTAAAATCAACAATTAAAGGAATAAAGACTGCAGCCCCTTTCTTCGATTGCCTTATACAAGTAAATACCATTCAGGAACTTACAAACTAAATCATTCATTTAATGTTTGATGTTAAAAAGTTTAAAAATAAAAATCTGACCTGTTAAAAAAAAACTTCAATTAACATATTTTCGTTTTTGTTTCAATTACCTGTTGATTTAATATTAATGCTTGTTTAATAACAAGTCCAAATATATGAGATAAAAAATAACTAATGTAGTACTCCTGATTTATAAACGTGTTTCAATGAAAATTATTCTTATAAGAGCAATTTCATTTCTTCTCATTCTAGAATGGTGAAAATGGTATTCATTGGGCGGCTAGGAAAGGACATTGTGATGTAATCGAATTTTTACATCAACAAGGCTTACCAGTAAACTGTACAAATAAGGTACTTGTATACCTTTGCTCTAATCTGAAGCGCAATATAACAAATTATTTATTTTTTAAATATCATTGTTACAGAATAAATAAGAATTTATTTGTAACTTACTTGAGAGCTTGGCATTCGGACATTATTATTAGTTTATAAGAAATATTTATTTCTCTACATTTTCATTGTTTTAGTTTCTTACACGGTTATATAAAAATGCATCCCAGAGAAATTTTACGCAAGGGATTTGCTTAAATAGTTGTGCAAATCTCGCATTTGAAAATATCAGAATTCATTAAACAAAGAGCGTTATTTAATTAATATATTTTAAAAATATTATTTATTTTTATCTTGCATAGATAAGTATGTACCTCTGAATGTATTATTAAAAATTTATATATACGTATTATATGCAACTAAGAATCAAACGTAATACAGCGATAAGATGAAAATGTACATGGTGTAAAATTTTGATAAAATTAAGGCACGGTACTAACCTTACTGATGCTGTTAAATTTGCGTAGCAGTATAGAGTTACACATAATTAACGTTATATTGTTACAAATTTTGCATATGTGTATATAATTTTAGTAAAATTGTAGTATCTTTTGTATGAGTAATATGGAATATTTGAGGAAACGAAGCTTTGCCGGAAACATAAGATTGCAAGTCTGTTTAACGTTGAGGTAAATGGATATTATCACGCTAAAATGGCGAGATATTACCAAACTGGCGATTGTTTTTGCATCTGATTTTTGTCACCAGATTTGGCGTAAAATCGCCAAAAAACTGCTACACTTTGCAACCATTTGGCGACATTTTGGTCCGGTCCCCATATTACTTTAATCGATCCCTATATGTAACTGTAACCGTACCCGGATCTTATTTGTAACTTTAACCATATACGGTTAAAGTTACAAATACGATCCAGGTGTCTTCCAGTAATTTCGAAAAATGGGCAGATACTAGAGATTTCTCGGCGACGGGGGGGGGAACTATATAAGCTCGTAAGAGAGAATCAGTTAGTTCTCAGTTTTTTTCAATTTAGAGTAGACTTCGAAGTACTGAGACCTTCGTGCGAGTTTCGCTCGTAAGATGCGCATTTACGTTTAACGTTCTTATACTGTTTAACGTTCTTATACTCTGTGATACTGAGAAGAGCTGTATGAATATTTTATTGTGGAAAATTCCAGAACTGTAAAGTGTTTCTTTTAGTAAAAATACATTTTATGAAGCTATCGTCGGTTTCTGTGTGTGTATTCAATCTATTACGAACCCGTACGCACGCAACTGCATTTACAATAATGATTTTTTTTTTCTTTCAACATCACAGTAGACGCAAGGCATGGATGTAATTTGTCTGTCCCTTCATAGAGGCAACGTTGGACCACCTATTAGGTGCCTCCATAATAAAGAGACCACCACATCTGGCCTTAGGAGTGGCCAATGCAGGCACAGGCAAGCGCCCGCCATTGGAAAAAAAAATACAGTAGGCGCTTAATGTGTTCACGTTTATCTACGGCTATTTTTATGACATTACCCGAATTAATGATGCATTAAATGATGAGAAAAAGATCTCCTTCAAAATAGAAGTGGAATTTAAATAATTTAATACAACTATAACTAAAAACACACGAATCCGTATTTCCACAGCATTTTAACAGGGAAAACTCAAAAAGTTTGTTTATGAACTATTCATAATGTCTTAAACTCAATGACTCATAACGTTTCTGGAAATTATTTGACAGATGCTATGCTCCTAATCTTCATACACGGAGGGCATCTTTCATCAGAAGAAGACATGCCAAAGTAAAATTTACAATTGAGCAAAAACGTAATCTTAGTTTGTCATAGGCGTTTTCAGGGAATTTATTTTTGTCATGAGAAAATAAAAACTTCTATAGATCCTGCTGAAGAAGAAAGACTTATGTCTAATCACTCTCAAAATCGATAAAGTTATTCAAAATCTAATCAAAAATTGCGTTTTGCTTAATATTAAACGCTTAATTTAAATCAAAACCAAAATATGTGGCGGCTTAACAACTTGGCGACATTTTTCTGCCATTTGACAATTTTTTCAATCTATTTTGACCTTATTTGGAGAATTTATTTTTTATTTGGCGACTTTATGTTAGTTAAAAAATATTCTGTAGCAATTTTATCATATTAACCGAATTGTTGTTAACAAGAAACGATCTATTTTCCATGTTTTCCTATACAAAAGCCTGGACTTTCACAGTTTGATAACAATACTCGAATGATAACATTAACTGCGATCACATTAAGCGCGTCATCTACTGTAGCAAAGTTTACAGCAGCAAAGCTCTGAGCGAGAAGTTCCAAAGAAGGTGCGCAAGTAAAATAACTGAGCTGTCTCAATCAGTCGAATTACGGTTTCATTGAAGCGGATATTTTTAAGGTTGTCCAAGCACTTCTAGAAGTTTCCAGAATAATCGATCGTAAGATTTCAAAAAAGGCGTTTTTCAAAAAAATTCAAAAGTTAGCATTAAATTCTCAAATGCCGTATGAAGATAGCTATAAAAATTGTTACCAGATCCGGTAAGAGGGACCTGCCGATATCTTAGATTTTTAAGTGAACTTTAACATTTTAAATGTCGTTCGATTCAGAATTACAAGATAGCCAATACAAGTAACTAGAAATATAGTGAATGACCATGAATTCAATTAAATAAAAATATGCAGTAAATTGTTACAAAAATCACTAAATAAGTAAATGAAGACAGCACATAACTTTATAAAATATATATAAACCAAAATGTAATCAAACAAACATGTAATCAAACAAACATTTACAAAAATTAACAATACTATGTTCAGAGATCCTGTGTTCAGAGAAACTGAGAAAATGAAAGAAGGAGAAGGATAATTAAGACCTAAGTGTATATGAAACTTTCCAGTTGAATTAAAATGTGATTAATTTGAATGACGTTCAGAATTACAGTCAATGTAACTAGGTTTAATGAGGATTATAAATATTATAAACTAAAACTTATCAGATTTGATTGAATGTATAAAGTTACAAGGAAATCTATGTTCGCTGTCTGCGAAGATTTTTGCTTCCAGTTGTCCTCCTCTCCATCTCAGAAAGATTAGGCTTTCTTGACCTATATTGGTTTTTTTTTTTTCTATTAAAATAAATGCCATAAATAAAAAACTTCATTTTAGAATTAATAGATCTCTGTGAATGCTGAATTTAAACTAACTATGTGGAGCATTTTATTATATAATCTTCATTTTAGATCGGTGATACTCCATTGCATTTAGCTTCAAAACAAGGTCATGCAAAACCTGTGGAGCTATTGTGTCGTCACCATGGTGACGTCAACAGACAAAATGATGTAAGTGCCCTATGATGTATTTTATATTCTGTATAGTTCTTATTTAGCTTTCCTTTTAACACTGAAGAGTTTATTATATTTGGATGTTTGATGTCAATTCACCTTTTTTAGGGTCTGAAAATATCAGACATACCACAATATCATTAACAGTTTTAATGGAAAATAGATAATACACGCTTAATAATTTTTACTATCTAAGGTATTTTCTCTCTTCTTTCTGCATGTCTTAGTGGTGTAACTGAAAGCTCGCGCGACTCGTGTTCTGGAGGTCAAAATCCCTGCGAGGGCATTGCGGATTTCTTCAATTTCCTGATTCAAAAAAATTTTACACAAGACTACATTTATAATTGTTAATTTTTTGCTCTGAAACCTCGTCAATGGTCATTTTAACTCTTTTATGAAAATTTTAATTTTATTATTTAAAAAATGTGAACATTCTTTCTAATGTTTTTAAATAATACATAGGATTGCCATATTTTAAGAATGAGAATCCAGGGTAATGGGCAAATCGTTGATTCTATGGTTCAGGGAATTGGAACACATGATCCCCTTAGAATCGAGTAAAAAAAAAAATGTTTTGTATCGATGCATGCAAAGTGAATGTACGCTTACCCGGTGTGCAAGAGCGAAATATAGAAAGACTTTTAAGGAAGATTTTAAAAGGAACTATTCAAATTTGAAAGATTTTGCAGAGACAATAATGAAAATTATAAATACGAACAAAGATAGAATTGGAATTCGGCACTAAAATTCAGATTTGGGATTAAAAAGAAAAATAAATAAATAAATAAAGAAAGAAAGAAAGAAAGAAATTTTATTTATTTATTTATTAACTTTTTATTTATTTTATTTTTTTTTTATTGGCCGGTAAAAGTTTTTGATTATACGGCCTGCTTGTGTCGGCTAGGAGGATCGGGACTGTGCCCTTATAATAATAATGATAATGTAAAGTACATGGGCTTTTATGCTGATGTACTATTGCAGGGGTGGCCAAGCTCCTAAATAGTCCGAGCCATTTTTCAAAATTTGAAATTTTTTGCGAGCCACAATTAAATACGTATTTAAAAGGTATGCAAAAAAGTATTAAATTTTTTTTACAGAAATTATATTTATTAAAATCATATAAAATAAAAGTACAAAATATGTGTATTGAATTTAAATATTAAAAATGAAACACATTTATTTTTCTTCTCTTGATAATTCTTTAAAATTTGGTGAATAATTGGTGAAAGTACTTTTCGGTAATTCTTTGAGATGCTAGTTAGTTAATACTGATCGGTGTTAGGATTTCACCAATTTTAAAGTGGAATTAAATGATTCACATGAGTACGTTGTTCCGAATATTGAAATAATTCGACAAGCAGCCTTTTTTAATTCAGGATTTAATTCAGGATTCTGGTACAAATTTCTAAAATTCAGTAATCGGCGTCGATTTATATTTTAATTGGTTATATTTTAATTGTAGGGCTTGTATTGGTTTAATCGTAGAACTTGATCTTCTTGCATCTCTATTAATTCTAATTCTCCAGATGCATTTTGGGTCGTAATTATATTGGAAATGGAAAACTCACCTTGAATTATGTTAATTTCAAACGGATTCAGAAAAAAATCAAGAGACGATGGACGGAAATGAAATTTGTTACAACGTTGCACTTAATCTTTCATATTTGTTATCTGTAATTTAAAAGACATTTTGAAACGCATACTGAACATAATAAATTTTTAAAATATAATAACACAAAAATGAAAAGGCACAACTGGGGTACATTTATCGAGGGCCACAAATAATCCTTCAAAGAGCCGCAGGTTGGCTACTTCTGTGCTATTGTATTCTACTATAATCCACCGGCGACACCTGAAATTTGAAAGAAAAAAAAAAAAAAAAAAAAAAAAAAAAAAAAAAAAAAGAAAGAAAGAAAAAAGGCGGGGGGGGGGGAAGAAATTTAATTTATTTTTCAATTCAGATCTAAAAAAAATGAAAGCTTTCAGATTTTATATTATACCCAAAGAGGATTTATTTCATTTACACATACATACACGTTTCGAGAGCATTTGAGCTAAAAATATTTAAAAACAGCATATCTTTAGAATTTTCGATAGAGAGTCTCACGCGTTGGAGATAAAAATATTTTATTCCACACAATATGTTGCCACTACTCGCTTTGAAATATTTGAGTTTCTTAATCAAAAGTTCTTTAAAGTTTAAAAAATATGAAATAGATAATAAAACAAATTCGAAATTCAAGATTCGGGCTTTCAGGTGCCCATATTCGGTGAAGAATTACTCTATTCAAAATTTGATGGCTCTAGGTATCGCTGTTTTTTCACAGTGCGAGAAACATACATACATTCGTGCAGATTCTTCATTATTTAATTTCTTTATATATAATACAAGCAATATTATTTGGTGGTAACAATTTGAAAAGTGATACAGACGTTTATAGTGATTCGACGCAAAATGCCGTTTCGAGACTATTAGTTCTTCTGGGCCAACGCTCCTTTGTGCTAATGAATAAAAAATTATTGATTTTAGTTATTTGTGTGATGTATGGAAGTCAACAAATGAAACTGGGAAGGAGTGCTAGGCCTGGCTCAGAGAGACGCCGAAAGTTAGTTGTGAACTCGAGATCTATAGAGAGGTCTGAACTGAGAAGGGCTCATGGGAGCCGATAATTCTGGCGAATTACATTATAAATACCTTACATTTTAGTTAGATTATCATTAGTGCAGTTTGGTGAAACCACGTATAAGTGTGTGGGAGTAAATATTCAGAATATAAAGAGATGTTAATTATGATGTTGAGAAGAAAGGATGGGTGGATAGTGGGATATTACAATTTGTCTATAATCTGCCCCACCTCACACACTAAAAATCTTCTATCTGCCTCATTTTAATTTTAAAGCTTATATTGTTAAACTCAAATTAAGTTCAAACTTAAATCAATTACAAACTTAAGGATTTTAGTTTTGCCAGTTCGTGATTTCCAAACGGAAATATCAGATTCATCTATTACTCAAGTCACCAGCAGCTGTGTGGTAGAAATCATTAAACGTTCCGAGCAAAGAAATAGACTGGCTGTATTTATATTCTATGAAAAGTTACTTCGAAGTTGCACCTGATGTTTTAAAGTTGGTGAAAGGAAATTTATACTCCCAAAATTGCATAATCTGAACGAAGAACGAAGAGAGAAAAAAACCTCACACAAGGTGCGAAAAACAAATAAAATCAGCATTAACGTGGAGGCTCATTTACATTACCGGATTTTTGAACCCAATATATGTTTCTACCTACTTTTTATATGCAGTTGCCCATCTGTACTAACACTATCATCCTGCAAAATAGTTTTGTAATAAAATGGCATGGATTTACGCAAAGATATAAAAATTAATATATACGTAATTAACAAAATTATAGCAATAGTTTATCATTCTTGTTTAATTTTATTTCATGAAACGTGTTTTACAGGAGGGTGAAACAGCCTTGCATCTTGCTTCAGTGCGAGGACACATCGAGTCAGTTCGATGTCTTATAGCAGCTGGGGCCAATCCTAATATAACGGATAAAGTAAGTCATTCAGCACATTATTTTGCTTTTCCGTATTAAAAAGTGCTATTCGATTTGATTTCTTACGCAATGCATTTAACTACCCCCTTTTTTTCGTTTTGTCACTGCATTATAGTATAAAACGACTGACAGCTAACCTTCCATTAGTGCGAGAATCATCAAGTGAGGTACATAGTTTTCTTTGTTTAGAATTGTGGCATTCAAACCAAATGAAAATCAGCGATTTTTTACCTCATTGTACGAAGTAAAAAGGAAGTATTGTAATCTAGAAAAGTTTCAGGCAGCATATTTCAACGAAAATATCCATTTTGGCCGCTATCGAATGCAATTTAACGATGTTTTTGCGTGATATCTGTACGTAAGGACAGAATAAAAAACTCTTTCCTCCAAAAAAATTATAAAACTGCTTTAAAATGAATTCTGAAGAGAATTTTTTGTGGCGTCTGTACGAACGTATGTACATACGTACGTATCTCGCATAACTCAAAAACGAGTAGCCTCAGAACTTTGAAATTTTGTATGTATGACTGCTATAACATGTAGATGTGCACCTCGTATTTTGGTTGCAATCGGCCGCACCAAACATATATAAATATATTTATATATCTATCCAGTCTGTTACCCGGCTCAGTGATCTCAGTTTCTTTACTCATATATGTTTGTAAATTGTACATTTTTTGCTTTAAAAATGATTGAATTATGTTGTTCTTATCTTCCGGTTAAGGTTTCTATGCCTTTAGTAAATCTGTATGCAATATTTTTAGAATTATCAACAATTTTAAAGCTGTTTAAGTGCCGCTAGGGCTAATAATTTTTTTGATGGCGGCCATTGCTTGTTTACATTTGAAAGAGCACACTAGTGGATTTGTTGCCAATCTAGAGAAACTTAGCTTCGCAACAACAAAGATAACGCCTTCATTTATTATTGCCAATTAAATCATGCTTAATCCTTTCCGGAATTTTTTCGAGGAAATATGTGTTTAAGATTTACTTCGTAATTTTTAATACATATATTTTCAGTATGTATTTTTGCCTTGTCGCGAAGTGAGAACTGAATTAATTGAATGAGAAATACTCAATCGTCTGTGAAAAACTGTTTCTTTTTTTGTTTTCTTTGATTCATTTCTTTTATACATCGTTCTAGCTTTATTACAGTATTTGAATAGAACATGTGGTAACGATTAGATAATTCTTTAAATGATATAAATTTTGTGCATTCTGAATTATAATATGAACGAAATATAATACTGTTGAGTGAATCTAACGCCAGAGTGTCGCTATTTTAAACAAATAGAGTGAATTTTAAAGAATGCATTTATTCTATTGTGGTTTATGCGCTGTCGGCAAAGTAGATTTAATTCAATCCAATAAGTGTAAATGAAATGCAAGAAAAAATGCGTATAATTCAATATTCCGTACAAGGAAGTAATGGGGTGTACACATCAGATTTTTTAAAGTAGTATTTATTTCTTTAGTGTTGTTAAATATAAAATATTGTTTATATAAAATGAATAGAGTGTGAAAAACTATATCTTCTTGCAAAATCGAAACTGTTGTGAATTTATAGCTCTCATTTGACATCTGCGCCAAGTATTTGCAAAGAATTGATGAGTCATAACATTTGAGAGCTGGAATGAAGCTATCATACTGGTAACAGACAGGCCGACCACTAGACCGAAAGTTGCAATTCTCATGAATATTTAAAGGACGAATTTTCTTTACAGGACATAAGAATAGCTCTAATCCTTTCTGTTCAGTATGTTTGCATCTTTTATCAAATTTCAGACATCTATCCCCGGGGCGCAGCATTCAGACGGCATCAAACTGATGCTCTCCATTGCATTTTAAATAACAGGAGGAGTCACGAAATCTTCAATTGCGTCCTGGGCACTGAAAGCCCTAGCTGCGCCTCTACATGTAATTTTCAGTAACAAAATATTCCAAGTACAAACAAAGAGGACTATTTTTTCAGATGCTATTTAAAATCCCTAATGTAAAATCTTATCAGCTAATGGAGACAATGAAAATGTTCTTCAAGAATCCTGTAGAATTAGTTGTCGTATTTGATTTAAAATAAACGCCGAATAACGATTATTAGAGAAGTTAAAACAATAAGAATCAGCATAATATTCATACATTCGAAAGCCTAGATTGAAGGTTTAAATATAGAACCTTCTTCTTCAGCTTCAGCAGTGCAAATGACGGAAATGAAGCCTGTATTCAGTTGATAACAATGAAAAGAAGGACGTCAAACTATTGGCACTATCTATTGATAAAAAATGAAATCATCTATGTCATAACTTCCTTAAAAGCTGAGGGTAAAGACGGTTTGGAAAATTGGGATCGTTAACTAAAACTGAAAGATTTTCATGAATGTGAAGAGCTTCTAGAAAATCGAAGTCGCTAACAGAAGATGTTTTTTGAATAACTGTGGCTGCAGAAAAATTGGAAAATGAGATTTGCTGACACCAGTGTTTGGCAAATGAGGATTTATGCGTTTCTTTTTTCCCTAACCCATTTTTCATGTTCCTTAGGGAGAAATTTATTGGCTCTCTTAGTTTGATTAATGTAAATTAAACCACACTGGCAAGGAACCCGGCATATACCCTAAGAGTTCATATCCGAAATAGGGTTCTTTTTTTAGGGAACTGCGAATTTTGTTGACAAAGGACAATTTTTAATTTGGAGAAATTTTGGATGTCATTTTCATCTTGCCTTGAGAGATCGGTTAATTAAGTTAGAATAATTCGAGGAAACAAGATTTAAGGAAGTACAACAAAAAATGTGCATAATTTTACAAGAGAACGGGAAAAAAGTCACAGATTTTGTCAAATTCATGTAAAAGAAATCGGTTAGTACTTTTGATTTTGAAACCGAATTTATCTGCATGAACTGCTGACATAATCGGCTATAACTGCTGCTTTACCACGCCTTGCTCTTTTCATACTTTCAGTAGACAATTTTGTTTTGCGTTGATCGTTTGTGGCCGAATTGTTTTCATTGGCCCTTTATAACTTAAATTTTTTTTAAGCCAGGATCTTCTGAATCTATAACACGGTTAATCCGCTTCTGGCTTATCGGGAGATTATATTCGATGTGCTGTGCGAACAGCAGTAAAGTGAAGCAGTAAAATGTGAATATATTTATAAAGTTCTAACTTATTTACGTGTCCTTGTCCACTAGAACTTTAGTGAAGTGTCGAGCGACTATTCTCTGGTCTTCTTGACACTATAAAATATAAGTCCAAAGAAGGGTTATATTTTATAGTATTCACTCAAAGAAACACTCACAGACGGCCCCTGCTCGAGCTTACAGGAAAGCCTCAACCTGGGCTTCAACCTAAGATAGAAAATAAAAAAAAAATAAAAAAAAAAATAAAAAAAAAAAAAAAAAAAAAACTAAACTACAAGTAATTCCAACTAGCTAAACTTTAGCCGAAGTTGTGCAAAAATAACTAACCGAGTTGGCCCGTAATTAAACCTCGTCGGCGAATGCTAACACACATACTAAGGCCCTACGTAATAAGATAGTCTTAAAAATAACAACGTGGCCCGAAGGCAGAACACCCTGTACTGAGAACTTCTGAGCTCTTCTCCGGAAGTGACTGAACTTCCTTTAAATACTGGTTCTACTTCATTTACATAAAACACGATACTGAAACCTCATTCTGGCAGGGAGTTGTATGTGAAAAACAAGAATTTAACGGAAAGGGTTTCAAAATTAAAATAACTATTAGAAAATTAAAATAATCCTTACATATTCACTGTATTCACATTTTACTGTTTACAGCTTCGTGTTTACACAAAGCTGAAATTACACATTTTTTATAAATTATCAGACTAACTATATGTGAGAGAAGCTTATTTTATTAAAGACTTCATTTCGCTCAAGCAGTTTAAATCTTTATTATACACTTTATATTATTATTAGAGATGAATGCGTGTTTTAAAGTTAGTTATGTATTCTGTTCTATATTTTGACTTTCGTTTTTGTTTTGTTTTCATTATATATACATGTCGACAATGTATGTGTATTGCAGCATGGTTGCACTGCATTGCATTTAGCTCTCAGAAGACATCACGTATCGATTGCGATCATGCTCTTGCAGGATGGATGCAACATAGACATCGTCGATAATGTGAGTAACTGGAAATCGTTTTTGTTTTGTAGAGTAATTAAAAAAAGAGATGCACATTTGTTGAAAGAGCATTTCTCTAAACAGGATAATTTTTCCGTAATTTAACACTTGATGCAAATTCAAAACTTAACATTCACAGGGGGGAAAAAAATCTGGAATGTTTCAGATTTTAAATTACGTCAAAAAGGGGGGCGTTAACATTTTGTGTGTTATCTTTATTAAATATCATATTATTCGCACTTAAACCCTAAGATCCAGTTCAACAGCAATATCGCAAAATAGTTTTAAAATGAGCATATCTTTAGAATTTCTCATACAGAGACTCACGCGCTGGAGATAAAAAATGTTTTTCTGCACAACGTTGCCATTGCTCGCTTTGAAATCCTTGAGTTGTTAATCAAAAATTCGTCAAAGTTTTAAAATAGGAAATCGATATACACTCTTCATATTAAGATATTGGATCAGTGAATCGAATTGAAATAAAAATCACTGTAAAATCACTACAAATCTTCAAGCATCATATGCAAATTTCAGAAGTACCAGATGACACCGATGGTACAATAACGAGACTGTAGAGAGTGATATATAAGGAATACAGGCAAAGAAGTAAAATTGTTCGCAGGCGCTTTATAAGCATTTCAGTGCAATAACCGAATAGTTATGACACAAAGGACGCATTTGGATGATTTTTTACGTGGTAGAATTATCGGCCGTCTGGAATGTGGGCGTACCCAACTGGAAGTATCAGACGAAAACTTGGAATTGCCCAGAGTGTCATCCAGGCTTTGGCAACGATTCCAAGATGATGGTAATGTGAGTAGACGTTACAGCCCAGGTCGCCCCAGAGTTACAACGCCGAATAAGGACCGGTATTTGGCAATTACTGCCAAAAGAAACAGGCGAAGCACAGCCTCAGACCTGTCTCGTCAGCCACTGGTACGACAATTTCAAGGCAGACCGTGTACAGACGCTTAGGGCAGATTGGTTTATATGCTCGTAGACCTGTCAGATGCGTTCCACTTACTGAAACTCACTGTCGCCTGCGGTTAACCAGGAGTAGAGAGCATGCATTGTGGACACCGCAACAGTGGGCTGTGTGTGAGTTTTCCCGACGAGTGAAGGTTTAGCTTGCAGTCTGATTCTCGGCGGACTTTTATATGGAGAACTCCAGGTACCCTACCACTAAGAAAACATCATTGAACGACACCGTTACGGTGGTGTAGGAGTGCTCGTTTGGGGTGGAATTATTCTAGGTTCCAGAACTGACCTGCATGTTCAAATTGGAACCAGATTCAAAGGGGCCTTTAATGTACAAAAGTTTGCCTTTGTTAGTATGACGAAAACAATCATTATATCGATAAATCCATTTTAAAATCTTGGGATATTCATTTTCTAAATGCCTTAAAAGGGGGAAAATTATGCAAATATTTTTTTAAATTTTCAGAATCTGGTTCTAAAGCTGGGTGGGGTGGAATATGCAACGCAATACGGTAATTCTGAAGATCATTGCTCGTGGTAGTACAAACTGAGTGGTGATAACTTGCATGCTGTAGAAGACGACACAAATTGCAGTTCCAGATGCATTAAATGCTTTGAGGTCTAGGGAATAGCAGTGGGCAATAATAAGAGTGAAATTCAAGGTATAGGGAAGTAGGAATGAAAATTATTTATTATCAGATAACTAAATGTTAATGTTACTAAGCATTCTTATTGGAATGTAGGTTTCTTTTATATAATAATACTATGATAGTTACCAGTAGTTCATTCATGAATATTTTTGATTGGTTATGGTCTTACTGTAATCACATCCTTCAAAATTAAATTGATTGCTTAATTTCCCCCTTGATTTTCATACTATAATATTAGTAAAAAGGAGGAAAAAGTCTGCAAGTAAACATAACTCCTCTTTCTCTCTATATATAGAGGCATGTATCTTCGTGTGCAACTAAGCAAAACAAATGTGACTTTTTCTTCTTTAAAAAATTTGTGTTAATAAATAGGATGAGAATTAAGTTCATTTTAAAGACTTATGACACATGAAATATAAATGATAAAAATAAAATTAAGTTCAAATAAATTTTAAGCTAAATTACGTGTTGCAATGTAAGTTGCAATAATTCAGTTGTAATAATTAATACTAACAAAACCAAACATCATATTCCCATTCTGCAACAGTATAAAAATTCTTCTGCAAAACTGCAAAAAATTACCAACACTTTGGCTTATTTGATAACTTTTGAAATTCATTCCTTTGTTTGCATTTAGAATTTATAACTTTAATTTTCCCCAGAAATTTGTTTTTGATTTTAAAAAATTTCACTGGCATAATTTCATTCACTTCAGCATATATTAATAGATGCAGAAGGTTTTTGTACCTTACATAATTTTAAATCTTATGTAACCTAACGTAATTAATAAACAAAATCAAAACATAGATCAGAAACTGCATAAAATTTAATAAATAATTTCTACTAGTGTCACACGAAATGCTATGAAATTAATCAATAAAATGAGATATAAAATATATAGAATTAATATTCCACATGTGTGAAGTTTGGAAGTTTTACGTTAAATACATTTTTTTTAATTAAGTATTTTTAAAAATAGCCCCTTGGAGCATGGAACCTTTCGCAATTAGAACTTGCAAATCCACTTCACTAGTCTTTCATAACATTGCTTTACTTTTATTAACAAGAAATATTGCCTTCAGTTATTTGATTTAAGATTTCCAAAAATAATGCTACTGAAAGGCATGAATACTTACTTAAATTTTGAAATTAATTTTAGTTGACTTAAAATAATATTTAAAAAAATAAATCTTCATATATACGTCTAAAAATCAGACCTTATTAATTTTCTTTTATTTGAACGATATCTGAATTCTGCCATTAGTTTGGACTAGTAAATCATTGGACAATTAAATGCCAAGCTATAAGAGAACTAATGTAGTTTACAAATGCACTGAATTTTATTTCCTGCATTAACTTTCAAAGAAAGTAAAATTTTCTGCATATTTGCATCATTTGGATTGATAGAATATGGCAAAGCATGCAAAGGCTATCAGCCTAAAGGGAAAGTATATATTCATGGACGGCTTTGTAAGGAAAAGTAGCTTGCATTTCCATTTATTCATGTGTGTATATATATATATATATATTACAATTGTTAATGCTAAAATCAATGCTTCATTAAAAATTTATTATTATTTTATTTTTAATACTAACATACAGATACAGAATTGTTTTAAATTCCAATAAACAATCATAATTTATTTTTAAGAAAACTTATTTTATGATTTATATATTATATTACATGAATAAGAGAAACATTTGTCAAGAAATGTATTAAACTTGTATTAGCAGATTCATGCTATCCTAGTAACAAGACTATCATACTTCAAAACTGTATTAAAATTGGGCAAAATAAAATCAACATAAATTCTACATTAAATGTTTAAAAACTTATAAGTATGCAATGGTAGTATTATATATACAATATAATAAATTTTGTAATTTATAAAATATTAATGAAATGATATTTTTGGAAATAATGTACAAATTTTAGTTTTAGTTTTTTTATAACTAGTTTAACGAATTTTAGAAAATATTTTAGGTCATTTCCATCTTTCCCCTGTTGATATTGGTATATTAAAATATATGGAATAATTAAGTTGCATCTAGTTAGTAAAACAAAACATTACGAAAAGTATGATGCGACATATTTTTAATCAATATAATTACTCAATTTTGGAATTATAACATTTTCGTAAGAAATTAATGCCACTGAAAAAAATAATATTATTACACTAAAGAATAAACGAGATTCTCGACCGCGTTGTTCAAGTTTTTGTAATTTTACCAGCGCCGGATTTAGCATTTTTCCTAGGCGTTGCAAAAACTTAAAACTGCGCTCTCACCCTCCCTAAGTTCTAACAAATTAATTCTTTAAATAAACATAGAAATATGTAGGGTTTGAGATAAAATGTAAAATCCATTTTATAATAGGAAATTCTTTATGCGCCATTTTTGTTGTAAAAGAAATATACATAACAAATGCGTTAGTTTCTTTACTTATGGCAAAGCACCTGCCTAAGAGAAGAAATCTCTGAGGACTTTCTAAGAGCAACTGGCTCATATGCAAGTTATGCATGAGTGAAATGAAGGAAACACCCATACAGCCCTCTAATTCGCTTGATACTGACCCCCGACCGAACTGCTAGTGTTCAGACTTTACCTCTCAGCCGCTGGTGGTTCGACATACATACCAAACGTTACATAATTAAAAACCCGCGCGAACCGAATGCAGTTGTTCCTCTGGTGCATTGAAATAATCAAATTTACATTTTCCCTGAAATAGGGATTTTTATCAATATTTGTAACAGTACCTACTCATACTAATAAATGATACTAATAGAAAACGATTCAGTACTAAATACTAAAATAGTTTATCACAGTCCAAAAATGGGAATCATATACAACTAAATAATAAAAAATATTATTTAAACAAATATACGCAAATTACAAATAACTAATGCAATGGATTCAATAATTTTATACCAATTTCTTGATACTAAAAGTAACTTTAACCCAGCATATTAAAAAGTCATTTCACAATAATGCCTTCATGCAACCAATTCAAGAACTCTACTATCGTCCTCACAAAGCCCGATAACATAATAAATATTTACATATTCACACAAAAGACTATTTTTGTACTGTAATAATCAAATTTATATTTTCTCTGAAATAAGCAATTTTTCAATATTTGCAACAATAACTAGCCAGACCAAGGAAAAATGATTCAGTACTAAATATCGGGCCAGTTCGTAAGTTCGTGCGCATTAAGGAATTCACTATGACGCATTTACTAAAACAATACAATTTTGAACTTGTTGAAACTTGTCATCGTTTGACTAACATATTATTCAGTTCATCATCAACTTTCGTAAATATCGAACGCATTTTAGTACCCATAGAGGGCGAATATAGATAATCAGTACA